AGAACATCATTGAAATTCACTCAGAAATGCATTCACTTTCCTCTCAGCCAATTCAAATATCTAGCCATTTAAATCCACATATACCACAAGGCTGACATAGAGTAACCCTACCTTTTCAAAATAAATGTATTTGATCATGAATCGTTTAGTATGGATTTTTTTTTGCCATAATTTATCACTGGAATGTCTGAATTTGATTCACCTTGTGACATAGTTTACCCTCATTATGCAATTAAAGATGTTCTAGACCCCTGGTCACCACATATAAATGCTTTTCTTTAACAGAATTTCTTAAAAATAAGAAATGGTCAAAAATAACAATATTTAGTTTCAAACACTGGGCCCTAAAAGGTGCAGATGTGTCCGCAGTAGTTAGCCTTCCATTATGAGCATTATTCTGTTCAGACTTATGGATACACATAAACATGTTGCGTTGCGCTGTATTACAAATTATGTTTACAGCTGATAAATTGTCACTTTCTACATGACCTGATAATTGGGTTGAACTGGCACAGCAATTACTCTCGCTAATCGGTGCTACGGTGTTCATTTCCTATATATATATATATATATATATATATATATATATATATATATGTAAAGTAATTTTTAGCTTAGACTAAATAAATGTGTCACATTAAATACGTTACATTAAATATTTTATCAAGATCTTTTAGTCCAATTAATTTGCATGGCTTTCATCTTTTGAGCTCTCACTGTCAAACTCATATTAGTAAGATGTCTCTTAGTGCTAAACATCCCATAGTTTATTGTGTATGAGTGTGTATTTTGGTTCGTAGTTTTGTGGACTGTGAGAGCTGTTGACTCACTTTAGGAAATATGTTTAAAAATAACTGACAACATTCCTGTAGTGGTGTTTAAGCCCAAACAAAGAGAAAACGTAAAGGGGATGAGTGTGATTGTTCACACACATGCTTCAATGTCAATGTTATGATGAGAAATAAGATTGGACTGAGAGAAGGAAAGAAACATCAAGCCTGTGTCTAAACGGGCAAGGAGAATTCCACAAGGTGTGTGTGTGTGTGTGTGTTTGTGGTTCATAGAATTAGTACTTACGGGGAACATTATGGCGTTAAAGGTGGTTATAAACTCTGATTAGGGATTAGAGGCTCACAGCAGGGGGCTGACATCTCTATTCCACACCAACCTCCTCATTACCACACTCACTGAAACAAACATACCACACACAACAACACACGCAGACACACTTTATTGAGCACATCTTCTTCAGCTTTGAAAAAAAGTAGCGTAAAGCTTATAATGGTTTTTTCAACCTGAATGCTTAGGGTTTTTTTCCCAACGTTTCAAAGGTGCAGAGGTATTTTTAACTTTTGTTTAAGTTTGTTTAGGATGACAAACATGACAACTTGACCGCATTCATGTTACACAGTGATGTACACATGAGCACCTAACACACACATACAGACGTGACTCCAGTGGCAGTAAACAATGTCAGATTCAATCTCGTCACATTTCTCCGCCGCCAGTTGATGTATCAATTTTTAAGTAGCTGGCCTCCACTAACGCCTGGGTAGCCGACACACACACACACACACGCACACACGCACGCACACGGACACACACAAACACACACTAACAGGCCGATGTGTGCCCCAGGAGGCGTGGCACTCGAGGATGCTGGAAGGGTTTCATCTTGAAAGCCTGTTGCTATGGTGACCATTATGGAGTTCATCTCCCGTGGGCCAGCAAGCCTTACGCTGGCCCACAGGAGATGAACTGCTGACGATGAATTCCCCTTGAAAGAACACACACACACACACACACACACACTACACCCCCCAGGTTTCTGCTCTGTCCGCCCTCTATGGAATGTTTGACTTGACCGAAGTGCGACAGAAATCAATCAAGAGCGGCACAATTAGCAGCAGAGGTAGAAACATTTGACAGGAAAGCGAAGCGGAGGAAATGACTTCCCACCAGGCACAGCCAGTGTTTGTCTCAAAAAAGTGCAGCTGATGTGATTTTGCATACGCACAGAGTGGCCCGCTTGAATGTAATTACAATGGAATGACTTTTCCTACAAGATATTGGCTTTGTGTTTCTGTGGAGGGCAACATTTTCTCAACTCTACCGCTGCTGTGTGGTTCCCACCAGCAACACACACACACACACCTTGTTTCAGCATTGTGTGGCTATTAACAAATAAATGCACAAAAAAAGAGAATAGAACCGAATAGAATGGGTTAAAGGAAAAACTCAATCAGCTCATACTGACTTTTCCCCAAAGGAAACAGTTGGGCTGTTCCCTTCTCAATCTGTGCGCAGTGACTGAGGGGGGGTCTTGAGTGGCACTACTATATCATATCTAAGAGCTATCGATTGGCACAAATACACTGAGTCTCTCTGGTGACTGGATGAATTTTTAATAAGACACTAGATCTGAGGGCACTTTTTGTCTTTAGAAGAAACAAAACACAAACACACACACACACAGACACACTATTTACTGTACAGCATTGTCAACTGTTACTTTAAGATTTTGCAAATTTCCAGTTGGCAGATAGTTCTACGACATGTGACCAAACTTTTTGTTTTGCGCTTCTCTGTCTGCCTTGTGTGTGAGTTTGTGTTTACGAGCGCACAATCTCACTTCCTCCTGGTCCCTTTTTCATATCTACTGTAAATCATTAATCATAAGGGACCCAAGTCAAGTAAGTCAGTAATTTCCCATCGGGCACGCACGGGGAATAGCTTGAGAAAAAAAAAAGAAAAGAAAAGGGGGGAGACAGGGGAAAGGGAGGCTGTGAGAGAGAGAGAGAGAGAGAGAGAGAGAGAGAGAGAGAGAGAGAGAGAGAGAGAGAGAGAGAGAGAGAGAGAGAGAGAAGCTGGTAAAGCAGAGCAGAAAACAGAAGGAAGGAGACGGAAGCTCCACTGACAGAAGCCAAGTTGTCATTCTTGCAGAAAGTTTTTGATCTGGCGGCTGATGGGACGCCAGGCCTGGCGTGGGGCTCCCTGTGCGTCCTCTGGTGCTCGGGTCCTTTTGTGCCTCCGTGGCCGGCCAGCGCCCCCGCAGCCAGGACTCTCCGGATGAAGCTCCCCCGAGAAAAGCTGCTTTTTTCACCCTACAGCCCTGCCAACAGGAACGCACACACACACACACACACACACACACACACACACACACACACACACACACACACACACAGGCACCCATTACCTTGGAAGCTGACAGGAAGGAGGAAGGAGAGCAGAAACCCTTTGAGAATTATCATTCCCTTTACATTCCTTTCTTTCTTTTCTCTTTCGCACATACACGCCCCAACACACACACACACACACACACACCTCTTTTCCAGTGTTCTTTCAGGTCTTTTGGGGATTGTGCCAGTGGACTTTGCTCCCCTATGATGAATGATTTGCCTAAAAATACTGTCTGCATGCAAGCAAGCAAGCACGATGTCCAGGTGGAAACACTTCCCTCCACAGTGATGAAACACACTACTTTTAGGCCACTTTTGCAGAACTTGTGTACCTGTGATTGTGGGCGAGTGTGTGTTATAATTTACAACCGTTCTGGGACGAGCGACGCGCAGCTTGATTAAATCCATGACCTTCGCCGACAAGCAATCAGCTGCGAGCACACACAATCACGCCGCATACTTAACACCGTCTTGCACACGAGCACTCAGCGCACGAACATGCAATCAACACCTGGCGGATTCTGTCGTACCATTGATCCATCCTATTCACACACACACACACACACACACACACGTAGACGTATGGATGCACGCGGCTTCTATGGAATTGCATTTGCAAGGCACACAGGGTTTTGTACACCGTAATACTATTTACCACCGTCGCAGAAGGGGGCTCGTGAAGATGGGAATATCAGGCCCATGAATGTATAAATAAATACATGTGTAATCTATATTTATATTACCAAAAGGAAAGTCAGGAATTCCATTTTACTGCCTCGGATGCAAAAGGGGAAATCATTCAAGTCCCAGATCTATTCCAGCTGACTGCTGCTGTTGAGCGCAAGCAGGTTTTCCCTCCACAGTTTTATGACTCCACATAATGACTAATATGCAGCCACTGAAACAGCCGTAGCCATAATAATATGACGTTATTGTTACTATTGCTGGGACTGCGGCTGTGTGTTTGTGTTTCCCCGGTTGCCTGAAGATCTAAAGCTTATATAAGAGGGATGACAGTTGCTGTGCTGTTGCACTGTGTTATTGTACTGTAAAGCCCCGCGGTTACACGGACCTTCAGCCTGATGTGAAAGGATCTCACGTCGACCTAATGTCACAAGATATCAAATCAAACTTTTTTTTCTCCTTTTCTTTGCCGAGGATGCTGCGCGGCACATCTTATGACCCGTCGGTGTATGTAGTATCGTTGCTGTAGCATAACTCTCCTTCCATTCGGTGTCTTTGTACTTGTACTGCATCATTTCATCAGTTGTGCAAATATTGTACTCAGCAGGTTCAGATTGGAAAATGAGAAAAAATGAAAATTAAAGAACATTGATTTTCAAAAAACGTTTTAGAAAAGAATTCACGTTGTTTGTTTAATCAATTGTCTACATATTTGTTCCTGTTTTATTTTGTATTTCCCTGCCTCTAGCTTCACATTCTCCCCTGGCGTGTTTTCTGCCTCGTCCCTAATCGTTGCCTCCTGTGTCCAATCGCCTCCACCTTCCCAGTGTATTCAAGCCATCTGTGCCTTTTGTCTCATTATCGGATCGTCTGGTCTTTTGCGTGTTTCCTGTTCTCTAGTGTAACGATTCTCCTGATATTTCTTGGTTCTTCCCTGTGACCCTTTCTAGCATGCATACACGTTTTTCCTGGCCTCGGGCCTACTTGCTTCCGAGTAATTTGTCCTTTCGATTTGAAAAGTTCTTGTGTTTGAAAGCTGGTCTGGCAGAACTTTTTAAGGCTCTAGCGGTGCATGAGAAATGGAAAATGTCAGTGCACCCCTGACCCTGTGTTCCTCTGTCTCTGTCACTGCAGCATGCAGACCTGGTACCTACAAAGCTTCAGCCACGGATGCCTACTGCACCAAATGTCCTCCTCACAGCTCGTCCCCGCAGGAACAGGCCTTCGAGTGCGTTTGCGAGAGAGGTTTCTATCGGGCTGAGACAGACCCACGCTCCATGGCCTGCACACGTGAGTGATGGGAAAAAACACCGGCACACGTAACGTACACATTGTGCGCTACAAACTGTTGGAAACTGGTTTTCAGATTCAGAGCTTCACCTGCCGTTAAATACTTGCATTTGGCCGTATATATTTTTATGTCAGAAATGGAATTTGCCATGATTGACTTGCATGTAATTTAATGAGTTTGCAATGTATAATCCCTCCGTGCATTTTCTTCCTACTTGGCTGTTATTGTTAAACACGAGACTAGAAATACCTACACACACACACACACACACACACGCATCCATGTCTGTTAGCTGAGTGGTTACGGACAACGGATATCTCCGATGAGAACGCTAGTATGGGGGATGCTCTGAAAGAAATCTGATGATGTTTCTTATTCTTTGTCTGCCTCTCATGCACACACACACACACACACAATTACACAAAAGTGCCAGAGCTAAGGGGGATTGGACCAAATCCTGATGAACACTGACGGAGGAGAATGGAAAGGATGAGAAGTGAATGAAAGGTAGAGACAGAGCGGGATGGATTAAGCTCGACGGAGGGATGTTGGCGTAGGACAGTGACATGCTGGGGCCTGAAATAAATAAATATGGAGAAGCGCACACACACACAAACCTAAAATCGGGTTATGGTAGATTACAGTCATTAATCGTTGTAGCAGGTGAGATGTGTGACAGTTGGTGTTATCAGCTGGAGATGTGACAGTTTGTTCAGATACGTACAGGCACACACTCTGATACGGCTGTGAAGTGGGTGGAGAGGGGAACAATGAGAAAAGGCGATGAAAGAATTTGTCAAGTAGCGACATGAAGAATGAGACTTAAGACACCGGCACAGAATAGAACAGCAGGAGAAGTAGTGGACTTTCAGAGGGCACATCATTTAAATGTCATAAACGGCTGATCGGCAGGTGAGTCGATGGTAAAGTGTGGTCTGCGGATGAGGGGAGATGGAGAAAAGAGAAAAACTCACTCTGTCGGCTCACAATTTCAGGAGATTCACGACCCTCAGCTTCAATTATCCCTAGCATGGTCCCCATCCCTCCCCCTCCCACCTAGCTCTCCTCCCTATCCCTCATTTCTAAGAGGCTCTCCACTGAGAAGACTAATCAGCAAGGTCTCGGGCCCTGCCTGGCCCCCTGGGTCTCGCTGCTCGGCGAGGACCTGATGAGATGTCAGGCCAAACGGCCATCGACTGACAAATCAGTGGTTTCCACGCGACAGGTTCCTACACAACGGGAACGGCGGCGTAAAGGGTCACCTTGATAATGGGTTGGACCTTTTGTGGTCCGCTCGAATGTTCTTTGCTGCCTGTAAGCACAGAGAGCTCCCCTATGTGAATCCACTTCATTGTTAAACTAGGAGTTACACGTTAACGTTGAGCACCTTGTGTATCTGCTGGGTTCATGCACAGCGGTGAAGCCCTCCGTTGAGTTGAGTACGTTATGCAGAGCCGGTGGGTGTATGAGCATCATAGAAGTTATGTTTCCACTGTCCAACATGCTTTTGTAGCCCTACCAAATAACTTCAATAAGTGAATCTCTATCATTTCTATAATCCCCGTATTCAATACAGGAAGGAGTCTTAATTTCTCCTATCTACACGGGAGTGCACAAAATGAAACATGTGCAGTCCACCTCTGGAGTTTATTTTGAGACACACTTTTTCGGATCCTGACAATGATGCACTAATTCTGCTGACGTTCCGAGTAAAGCTAACTGCTCTTAATCATAAAATGTACCTGACTCATGAGAAAATAATTCCAGGCACTCTATATAGATCATGTCCACTCACTATTGATCGTCTGCGGAGCAGCCCGGCTGCGTTTCAGTGAACCCCGCATGGTTGAAAATCCCTCCCTGCGGTCCAGCACCCAGTATTCAACATCACGTGAATTCTCTTTAAAGATGGATTTAAACTTCGGAAGTGTAATATGTTCTCGTACCTTTTTCATTTGATTTACCGAAGGCCTCTCAATCACTGTACATTCTATAGATATTCATTACCAGAGTGCTTGATGTCCACCCTCTGGCTGGGGGGACGCTCAATTTATTTTGTATTTAATCAATGGTAATTCTGTTCTTAATAGAAACTGCAATATGTCATATAATATACATGAAGACAATGCACGTTTGGAGAGCTGGCACTGATAAACGGTGATAAATGCGTTGAATGCAACTCGCTCTTGTCGTACCATGCGGCTCTCCCAGTGCATGCTGGGATACCACAATCACTATTCTACTGAATATAAACTAAACATTGTCATATTACGAATAATATAGTAAATCTGTGTCTTTATCCTCCCCTAGGTTCTCCGTCTGCTCCGGAGAACCCCATCTCCACAGTGAACGAAACCTGCATCACCTTGGAGTGGTCGCCCCCCAGAGACACGGGGGGCCGGGGGGACGTCACCTACAGCCTCCACTGCAGGAAGTGCTCCGGCGACAGCAGGAAGTGCACCCCGTGTGGCAGCAGCATCCATTTCGTTCCCAGGCAGTTCGGCCTCTCTTCACCTACTGTGCTCGTCACCGACCTGCAGCCCGACTCAAACTACAGCTTCACTGTGGAGAGCCAGAACGGAGTGTCGGACTTGAGTCCGACGCCGAAGGGAACTGTGGTCATCAATGTGACGACGTCACAGACGGGTGAGGACATTCATGTTATGAAAAAAAACAACAACAACATTGAGCTACGACTGTCAGAACGCCAGCAACTATTCTGCATGATTTGACTGATGTCCACTTTTAAACAAAATGTCTTCCTCTGCGAAGAAGGTACTAGGAGTTCGATGCATCTTTTTTTCCCCAAAACGGTCTCCTGATTGCACCTCGCTCACAAATCGTACCAGGCTTGTGGATGGCAGCTGTAAAATTACTGCTGCGCGCCTTCACTCTGAAGCCTCAAAATAACACCTCTGCAGCTCTGCCTTCACATATAGAATCACGCGTGCACCTTCCACAGTGTGGGACTGTGGTGAAGATTGGTGAAGAGAAGTGTGTGTGACAGGGTGGTGGTGACTAATCGGGCCTCGTACTATGTGTGTGAACGTGTAATAACGTTGGGGGTGGTGGGGGGGCTGCAGCATGCGCCCCAATGTGGAGACGCTTGTTTGGAAGTCACCGGGTGTGTAGTTAATAACACCAGCAGGTCCCACGTACACACATTGAAGGATGCTGTAATCGCACGTGTACAAAAACAGCTTGTAAGCTTGCGCTCATTAGCAGAATGACATCACAAGCCCTTCAAATAGGGGCGTTCTCGTTAGAGCACAGTAGGTATCAATCTGAAATATCACACAGCTCTCTTCTCACGCTTTAATCCTCCTCATCCTGCTGAACTTTACTCTCTTTGTTGTTCATGCTCTCCCCCTCCTGTCCTTTGTTTCCACAGTGAGCGTCGTGTTGAAGGAGCGGCGGAGCAAGGACAGCGTGACCTTGGCCTGGCAGGGTCCGGAGAGACCAGACGGAGCGATAGTGGAGTACGAGGTCATCTACTATGAGAAGGTGAAAGGGATGCACATGCGCTTCTTTTTTTAAAAAGGGGGCACTCTGCCGGTTTCTCGCACAGAGATCAGTTCTCTCGTTTTGTCAGATTTGTAACAGAAGGTCCACGTTATACACGCAAGGTGAAGATGAAGGCTTCTGGGTTATTTGTTCAGCCTCGGGTCTGTAACGACTCGTTCACCACAAACATCTCCCTTTGTCTCCCCTACTGCTCACACCGGGCCAATTAACCGCACATCTGTCAAACAAACCTCATAAAACAAGGCCAAGGTGATGAAATTAAGCCTGTGTGTGTGTGTGTGTGTGTGTGTGTGTGTGTGTTCCCAGGCGTTAGCAGTAAAATACTGTTAATCCTTGTTGTAGAGGGTCTTCCATAAAACGCACACACACACATACCTAGAACAACAAAGTAGTCGAGGAATGAAGCTGGTAACCACATATTTCCCCCCCCCCCCCCGTGTGGGAGGAGGAAGAGATTTGGGACTTATTGGCAGATGCTCATGTATAAATTTGACCGAATGGTTCGTTGATAACATGAAGCCTCAGTGAGGTGTACAGTACCAAGCCCCTGGAGACATTTCAATTAAACTATTTGACGTTTATATTCAGACTTTACCCCCCCCCCCCCGTCCCACAGCATCCATTGCTCTTCACCTAACCCTTAAGAGGATATCTGAATATAATTTTTGGGCCCTTGCACTATTCTTTGACACCTCATGTTCTCTACTCAATTTAATATTAAATTACCTCCTTTTTCTTTTTTTTTTCCCTTCCATTTCAGAATCAGCGGGAGCAGAATTACACAGTCTTGAAGACTCGCTCCAACATGATGACAGTGGAAGGGCTGAAGCCGGGGACCACCTACGTGTTCCGGGTCAGGGCCCGAACCGATGGGGGCTACGGGACCTACGGTGGAGAGATTGAATTGGAAACCAGCCACGAAGGTAAAGGGATGTTTAGTAAATATTTTCTCACAAAAAATATAGTTGTTTTTTTACCCTAAATTTATGTAGGATTTTAAGTTTTATTTTCTTTTTCTAAAATGTCAGTGTGGTTTTCAGCTGAAAATGAGGAACAGGCAGTGAAGTGAGAATGGGTTACATGCCAATCCACGCTACATAGTTGGAGGCAAACGTTGAACATGAGGAACAAAGATCAACTGCAGAGCAGAGAGTTCTGGGATATAACATAACAGTGCTGTAAGTTTGAATCAATCCAACTGATGGGTATAAAATCGCTCACTTTCCATCCGAATTGCTCGTTCAGTTCAGTTGTCAGACGGAGAAACTGCAGTGGGTTGTCATCTACTTGTCAAACCAGTGGATTGAAAGCGTCCTTGAATACCTATCGGGTGAAAAGGGGACTTCATAATGAAGGAAAATGAATATTTGACAAATATGTGAGGATAAGATTCATGCCAATGGCGGAAGGAAAACCTAAAGGGGTTGGAAGATGTGTGAATCATCCCTAATGAAACATTTCCGACTGCTCTTGCTCCCCACCTATAGAATGACATCACAACAGAGATAATAGCACATCTCTGTAGTGATGTTTTTAATCCCTCTGTCACTTTGTCCTTTTCTCCCGTTTGCCGTCATCCACTTTCATTATCGCTTCATTATGTGCTTCAGAGGCCTCTTCAAAGTGAACATTGATTCCGGGACTAGCAGGCAGAGAGGGATAAATCAGTTCATGTGTAGCACTTCACTTTAGCCCACAACCGCCACACATTAGCTTTTTAATCAATAACAGTAATCCAGAGTCATGCATCAAATACTGGGAACGTGTTCTTAAAAAAAGTAACACTATGGAATAAAGCCGTTTCTAGACTTCAGACGTCCACCGCTGTGAAGTACAACACGAAGGTTATCTAATCAGATCAATTAAATTGATCGTTGAAGGCTGTGTATGTCTGTATAGGTAATGTAATAGGAGAGCAAGGCTTATCTATCCCTCCAACACACACACACGCACATCCATAACCACAAATATACATACACGCATACAGACACGCGTCTCTGCTCATGCTTAGCTAAGCCGGACAAATGGGGCATTTGTTGTGAGTAATGGCTCAATCGGTGCGGCGTAGAAATCGATGCATTGTTGTAGAAAGTTCTCTGCGGTAGCCTCGTTATGTGCAATGTTAACATATCCGTTTGGACAGCGATGGGAACGGCTTTCACAGGCGATGCAGAGAGAGCTTTTCATCAAGGACCTTACTCACCATTCCGTCCACCTTCCCTGGGCTCTTATTCATCCTCTGTCCTTATCTTCCTCTCTGAGGCTATCGTATTTCATTCTCTCTTTCCCCCGGCCAAACTCACCTCGCCGTCCTTCCGGCATCAAGCAATCCTCCGTTATGCTTCTGTTTATTAATCCACCGTGATCCCTTTGTGTCCCATTTAGACGTCTTTCCCATCGGGGACCCTAACCAGTCCACCATTCTGGCTGTGTCCATCGCTGGAGGGATCGTTCTCCTCGTCTTCCTGGTGACTTGCTTCGTTGTCAGCGGAAGGTATGGTAAACAAATACCCACAAAGAGACACACTTCACACGCGTGTACACTGTAGGAGAGCACAGTTAAAAAAAAAAAGAATACCGTGTAGACAACAAAATCAAATGGTCTGTTAACTATTTATACACATTATACCTCTTTTACGTAAACCGTGCAAAAACTCTTAAACACATAAAAGACACTACTTTGTGCCGGCTGACACAGTCTGTCGCCGTTGTTGTTGTTGTTGTTGTTGTTTGAGTCGGTCTCATACCGGCTGCCCCGCTGCTGAAAATGCTCACTTCACTGGTGACCAACGCCCGTCTGTTTTGGATCATTATTTAGCATTTCCAAGAAAATTAAAGTATACATGTTTGGTCACTGTGCTTTGGGTCAAAGAGTTGAAAGCGCTGCTGCACAGACTATTAACAAATTGTTGTTGTTTTTTTTGAGACCAGATGGTGGTTTCTGGTTGCACCACTGACGGCTGTAATCTCATCAGTTGACCCACAAAAGAAGACTTTAAACGTCTTAGTTATTGCTGCCAGGGATGTTTGCATCTTTGGCTCACGCATGCACAAAGACTCCGCTAACGATATGCAAAGGGCCTTTCCAGCAACGTAGATGAGCTTTACCTTCCTACACGCGCGAGTTGAGCCAGGTGGATCGAAGGAGCTTAGTTGGCGGACGGCTCTTTGCACAGAGAAGGAAAGGACAACGTCAGCGGAGGAGGAAAAAAAGGGATGACAGCATCCGTGATTTACCGGGCCTGCGACTGAATGTTTATCCTCTATGAGCGCCGCCCAGATTAGCTTCACGTTAAAGAAATACGCGCACGGACGCACAAACATGCACACACAGTAAAAACATTAGTATTGATTCAGGTGATTGCTTATCAGGCTGAGTGCTCTATTCACTATTGACTGGGAGCGATGTAATCAGCGGAGACGCTCACACGTGCACGGGAACGCTGCGACATCCCTTTAATCAGAAGAAAATTACGAGGTTGCGCGTGTAAAAAAAACAACAACGACATCCTGTTAAACATAGTGTGCCGTCGACACGCGCGCGCTATGACACCAACGCTCTCTCAGTCAACTAATCAGCTTTCGCAGGCTGGGGAGGCGTTAACGAGGTTCCACCGGAGGGTCGATGCACTGCCGTCTCGCTCGTCCTCTTCCCCCCTCACTGCGTCTCTATCCGTCTTTCCTCTATTTGGAGACGAGGACCCTCTGGAGGGAGCAGCGTTGATGACCGCTTTCTATTAAGCCGCCTCTGTACATCTGTCAAAAGGTGGATTGAGGCGAGGATCAAAGCTGCATCACTAGAGGCAGGAGCAGAAGAGCGAGCGGGGGGGGGACAGACGAGTCAAAGGAGAGACACAAGTGGAAGAAAAAACGAGAGCAACGGGAATGACATACTGTACCGAGGAGGGGGGGTGTTTGGGAGGCGGGTGGGGGAGGCTACATCCGAAGAATGTTTGTGCCACCGGGAGAGAGTTACATTTTGTGATGGTGTGAACGAGCAAGAGGGAGACGGAGGAAGAGGAGGATGTGTGGGGGAGATGGCGAGAAATTGATGGAGGAGGGAGGGGAAGAGCTGGCGGCAACAACGGGAAAGGAGGAGGAGGAGGTGGAGGAGGAAGGGCAGGAGAGATGATGGGTGGTCGATTGCACTGTTGGATGCGATGGGAGTGTCAGCTTTTTGAGGAGGATGATTGGGTTTCTCCTCTTGTTGCTCACACCACCCTCTTCTCCTCTGTTGAACCGCCCGTCTCATTGGTCCGTTCAGGCCTCTCCCTGCTTTTCTTTTCTTTTTGCTTCATCTTCGGCTCTTCGGCGTTGATTTCCGGCTCCATTCTTGAAACTAACATTTCGATGAAACCCGCTCTGCCTCAGCAAATACATCAGATTCTCTATACGTGAGAATCTGATGTATTTTTTTGAGCCTGCTTCAATGTGGACGATGATTAAATCTGAATTAAAATGGACACAGTCAGCCAGTGTTGAAATTATTCCCCACCAGACCTTTGTCTCCCCTCCCTAAATGTCAGCTGTTTAAATCATTTCCCCAATATTCATTAGACTGGATAAGAGCTTTTTGTTCTTCACCTATTTTATTCACATTTTGAAGGAGGTTTTCCTCGCTGAACTATAAAATTGCAATGAACAGTCGTCCTTCCTTACACACACACACACACTCTCTCCTTGCAGGCTTCCCATGCAGGGTGCTGCACAGCTATGCCTCATAAACGAGCTGATTTGCGGGCCATTGTGTTCTGCCCTGTTCTCGTTTAATAAAGTGCTGTTATGCTATTGTTACCGCAGGAGGGAAGACGCGGAAAAAAAGGTTGAAAGCTCCTCAGACGCAACACGGTGCTGACAAATCACACCAGTTATTGCTGCGCGCGGGGCATTATCGCCCTGCGAGTGCATGCGACCGAGTGTGTGACGCTGGGGCCTTTTGTCCTCCCGAGGCTGCTCTGGAAGGTGCGAGCGATGGGGAAGCGAGCAGTGCGACCGGCGTCGCCGCGGACGCCTTTCACTCACTCGTGTCTCTCAGTCCTCGTTAAACATTTTACAACTTCTGCCTCCGGCATCCACGTGCGTTTAGTCTGCGGTCTGATCATTCTCCAGCCTCTCGTACAGTCTCCTTTTCTGAATAGCTGCAGGCTTTGGCAGTGCGCCACTTTCTACTGTGTTATTCTGTCTTCAATGTGTAGTTTTGGTGAGAAAGTGTAAAGTTGTTCCACGTGTAGGATCCTTGTTTTTTTTGTGCTTTTTTTTAAGCACTCTTATGTGTCTCAAAGTCCGCCTCTGAGACACTGACTGACAGCATCTGCTGTTCAGCGGGGAGTCGAGGGCTGCAATCTGTCTGAAATCATGAAATAATAAAGCCTTAATTGGATTAGTGTGAAAGAAGATGAACAGTTATTTACCAAAGCTGCATTTATTTTTTCAACAAAGGTAAGCTCCGTTGATTGCCATCTTGCAGATGAGTTCAGTTTTCATCTGCAACCATAAGGAAAAAAAAAAAAATTCTCCAGATGTCGAGATTTTATAATGAGAAAAAAGTCCTTACTCTGAGAGGATGTTTTGAATAATAAAGCGTGAAAGGCAGGGAGAGAAAGCGGCACAGGGGAGTGAGATGTCATTATAACGTGTCAACAGCTCTTCCTCTTAAACACAATAGTCTGTTCGTTTGACGTGCGCGTTTTTGGCGCCTGGGATCTTTTACCTCGGCAGCCTCTGCTGCAGCAGCCCAGAGTTATTCTTGACTTAATGACACCAAAGAGGAGCGGAAAGAGGAGCGTACGTGAAGGTAAACATGTTGTTGAGTGAGCGGAGTCAAGCGGTAGCAAGACAGACTTGGGAGAAACTGAGGAGCACTAATTGAGTGTGAAACATCACGTGCATGGTGTGTGTGTGTTTGTGTGTGTGGGCGGGTGTTGTCTTGTTTGGATTTCAAAGGAGATGTGAAGAGTGGGGATTCGAAACCCCAACAGATTACAAGTGAGGGATGTGTAGCCTGGATGTGGCAAAGAATTTAAAAAAAAGATACTCAGTTTAGAACTACAAAATAAAAACTCATGAGTTCAAATATCTGCAAGACAACTGCTTCATTTCGGTGTTTGTTACCTTCAAATCAATACACTACAATACAGATGTTACAGATGATTCACATGATATTGATGCCGAGTAAAAACATAAAGGCACTGAATGACTATTTATCTATATTCATCAACCTAATCCATTTGTTCATCCATGACATCAAGTTAAATAATTCCATTTATCTTTTTTGTCTTCTGTTAAACACACGTTTGATCCCTCACTCTGCACTCTGGGGCCTTCACCAGGAAATGAGTCAGTTGTCTCCAGCCACACTCGTCTTGTATAACAAGGATCGTAGTGCAGCCGTTATATGCAGAGATCAGAAGAGACGTACGCTGGATGGCTTTTTATTTCCCAAACTGATATAATTAATAACTCCTTCAAGGGAGAGTTCCCAGAAAGAATCTAGGACTGCCTACTTTCTAGCAGCAGAAGCAAAGGATTTGTCTTTAATATCTTGTCACAGATAAAACACTTTCACTGTGAAATGCGTCCGCGTAGAGAAGCTAAAGACGCTCGATTTCACTGAGACTTCAAGAGCAGTGAGGCGTTAGCAGTCAATGAAAATAATAAACTGGATTACGCGGCTTTCCCAACAAATCGTGTTTTTAAAAAGGGGGGAATCACTTTAACCAAGACAGGTCTCGTAGCATATCGCCATAAATGAGGATAAAAGGCGTTAGGCGATTGGGTACATCGAGGTTAGCGTGGACCGTTGCAGAAAAGCGATGCACACACACACACACACAAGCATGCACACACATGCAGACCTGATGCATAATCTCCTGGAGGAAAAAAAAACGGGAGCACAGTACCAGGCACATACTATCCAACCAGTGGATTGGGTGGAGGTAATAATCAGCCGAAGCGTTCCCTTCCCTGTGGGGGGCGGTGGTCTGTTTAGTTGATAACGGCACTAATAACGGTTTTGTATGTGAAACAAAACGAGCCGGTCTGAGGTGTCGTATGCAATGTGTAATGTCATTAGACAGATTTGGATGTGTTGCCTGGAGTACTTTCAATCAATGCTGCTGAGCTTTAGGGGTGTAACTCAATACAGCTTTGTCTGCAAAGTGCATTGCAGTGGTAGCAGCTAGCTGCCGCTCGAGCAGAACTATTTCACACAGGCGATGTGCAAATGAGCAGATGTTGCAGTGGGATCAAATGTCATGTGAATCGTACAAATTCAAAACAGTGTTCTTAAAGTATATGGTGCATTTAAATCAATTAGTTCTATTTACACACACACAACTGTGACCTAATCAATTTGTGTCTGTGTAGTAACATCATTAGGTGAATTAGTTTCACACTGATTTCTATGCAAATAGATCTACTCCACTTAATGAAACAGATGATATGCTACGTCTCTCACTCTTTTCGTTTCTCTCATTTGACCTTTACGCCAGGTTG